ATTCTAGTGTCTAGACCACACTAGGCATCAAGCTACAGTGCACATTATGCCACATACAAAGTGCCTTTAAAAGTATTTGCTCATCCACAATTTGCAATTAGTTTTTAAGCATAAAACAATGTTCAAGAAGAAAACCACCATAAAAAACATAGCCTCACTGGGACTGAACTTTAGCACAGATTGGCCCTGCTTTCCTTACAATTTTTAAATGGTTAAAAAAATTGACTACTACTAGAGTGAGCAGCCTGAATATTTTAAACATGTTAAAAAGATGAAGTGTTTCACAGGGTTTTCTGCAGAACTATGCCAGTTGCTCCTGACTGGCACCCCTGGTATGGGTAGCACAGTGCCTCCAAAATAAATACTTGTAGTGTGGTATTTACTTTCATACCAGGAAGTAAACAGAGTTATCTGAGAATCTCATTCAAATAAATAAAGGTATTTATTTGAATAGGCAGTCATGTAATAGACTTCAGTTTTGGATATTTCCTATTATTCAATGGCAAGTCTGTGTACACAGTGAAAGGAATCATGGGAGAATATCACATGGTATCTTGTTCTATGTTTTCATGTACTGTAAAACATTAACTTGTTCCTGCAGTGTTAATGATGGATATTCTAAAATGTCTGTGAATAAAGATTAACTTAATACAGTTACAGTCTGAACCACGATAAACTAAACTAAGTGTCATGCTAATGTGGGCAGGTCTTAAGTTGGTAAATTGTAACAGCTATGCTATTGGAAGATTTTAGCTTGGATATCAGGCATGTCATAATTCCTCCTTGCTTTGGAATGCAATATTCTAAAAATCCAAATTGTTCAATAAGCCTTAAAATTTATTTTTGTGATAAACAATTTCAGAAATTAGGAATACAATCAGGGTATAAACTTTAAGTATTGTGTACATGGAATATTTTATTTCCCTCTTACAAAAACAAAAATCTAAAGATCACTGAGTATTACGTAAGTCTAATGCCCTTGCATTTGTAGTGGTATTATTTCAAGGTATTAATTTTACCCAAACCAACAACAAAACCCCCTGAAGGATTTATGTGTATTTGCTTTGCTGAGCTTTATGTTATTATATAAAGGATGCAAGCTTACTTAATTCCTTCTAGATGTTTTTCCTCACAGTCCACATTTAGGTACAAAAAGCAAGTTTTTCACAAGTTCTTAAAAAGTTTACTTTATTGGTTACAGTTATATAAAATGTACCACGGTAGTCCCATCTAGCTGGTCATTAAGTGCTTGCAACGGCAGAGAGATCTTATACATCTGAGAGATATCCAAGGTTTATTTCATGCTGGAGGAAAAACAAAACAAAACCTCTCTTCATTTGCTTGCCTGCACTTTAAATATATCCAACAAGGCTAAAATGTTTAAAAGCAAGGACAACCCCATTTGTATGTCAAATTGTAATTTTTAATATTTTCATTAGAATAGTCTTTATATCACTCTCCAACAAAAGAAAATATAACTAACAGCAAACTTTAATACAGGCACACTCTCCAGATTAACAACCCAAATCAAAAACAAAAAAGAAATTAATGTAAAATGTAAATCACATATAATACAATTGAAGTGTCCAAAACAATTTAAATAATTTTAAATATTTTATTTTTTTTAAACTTGCTACAAATGCTTTATACAATATTTCAACATAAAGTCCCCATAACAGAAATGTAACAAAATGGGAATGATAGTGAAAGTGAAAGTGGCACAAATTCACCAAACAAGTATTAAACTACAAATTTTAAGAGGTAGATTACTTGTTAAGTCAAGGGGGGAGGGGGAAGGAGGGGGAAGGGGAAGAGGGAGGGTGCATAATGAAACTAGCTGCTTTCCATCAACTGAATCATTAATCCGGCAGGGTGTATAAATGCACGAGAAATTATATTTCCATGAAAAGCTCTTTATGAGCAGTAGGTCAATTTGTTGCTTTTAAGTTATTAGATAATGAGGTGTCAGACCTTTTACAGTAATTTAATTATACATTTATCTTTCAAAATATACACCTACACAGCCCCGTTTCTGGCCTGTTTATTAATAAAATAGTACACGGTGTCCAATTATATGGAATTCAGAAATTGGTGCCAGTATTTCATTTCTATAGGAAGAAAGTTTTATTTGCATGTATAAATAGGAGATTGGGAAATTCATAAAATGTCCAAACCTGGTTTTTCCCACATCTATGCAGGGCATCTAAAAGACTTAAAAACAAAAAAAGTGGGGGTGGAAGGAGAAAATTCTGTCCTCTCTACTAGTTAATTTAAAAGAAAAGCTTCAGGAGACTCAATACATGACAAAAATACTTTGAGTGCAGCAACATTTGTCGTCCCTGACTCTACAACGAACTATTGATAAAACAGGAACCTGCTTTGCAAAGTTTAAGCTGAAATGTCTTTTTGCATGCCATTCACCAAGATATGGGCAAAACCAGAAATCTGAGCTATCAGTTCAGTGGCAGCAGATTCTGTTCAGTTTAGCCCATATTGTTTCCTTCTTTTATTTATTATTAATAGTACCCTTCTCTTTGTATCTAAAACATCCTGTAGCCCAGCATGTGTATCAGGCACCAATGAAGAAAACATATGCCTGACACTAAACATCAGAGCAAGAAGCCTGCAGGCAATCAGCTGCATTTTATGATTGTGAGTCAGTTTCAGCTGGTTTCGCAAGCTTGGTGGATTTCACATCCATTGTCGTAGTGCTTATCCTAAATTGAGCATTTAGGGAATTTTGTTTTGTTTTTACAGGAGGTTCCTAGAAAATAAGAAAAAAAACTGAAGATAAATGACAAAAATAATAGTATAAGCTGCTTATGAACTGAATATGCTTCCAAAGAAAACACAAACCAAAGTGTGAGAAGTAGACTTGAAGACAAACAATTGCTTAGTGAAGCAGATGGTTTTGAAAAATACTTAATTAAGATTTCCTGGAAAAAACAAATGTTTGCGTGCAGAACAGAATCAAAGTTTGCCGACTGATGCCTGGTGTGTATGGCATCAATTAAAGTATTAGGGCAAGAAACCCTTGATTCTTGACATAAATATCAAGGATAAGCAGGCAAATAAAATCCAGGTTTATGAATTTAAATGGCATATTCCTAAAACAAAACAGCAAACTTCCTTTTTAGCTGAACTATCCTTAAGACCAGCCAACAATGCGAGCTGCAATGGGAAATGTATAATACTTGAGACAGAATGTCAAAGCTGTCTCTATGTAAATCCTTATTCATGCCGTGAACACTTTGAAACAACTTCTGTGTGTGCAAAGGATCACTTTTTTTCAATGTGATCTATTATTAAATAGCTAATCAAGATATACATCTCTGGCTCCAAATTCTACTGATTTCCAGTATAATGTCTCACGCAAAATCCTTGGTTACTAACAACAGTTTTACAGACAGCTCTGCAAGACAGCAACTGATTTTGAGGCAAGTACTGTAATACAGAGACATTGATGTTGTGAGATAATTAGGGCTAGCTGGTTTCTCTTGCTCTTTGAAGACATTTTTCTGTATTACTGGCTGACAAAAATTCAAAACCTTTTTTCTGCTTCTCTTTCTTGCATGTGTGTATTGATTTTGTTTATAGTTCAAAGTAACTGGAGTCTATTTTCCCTTTAGCCCACTGGAATAATGCGCCTGTGTTGAAACCTGTACTTTTAGACAAAGTATTTCCTCCAAAGGATCATTAAAAATGAAAGGCCTGCATTATTGTTTAATCACAAGCACTGTACTGCAACCAGAACAACACCAACAGACAGCTCTCTCCCCTATAGGAGTTTTGAAACAGTTAATTTGGCAAGAAAAAATATAAAATCAGGCAGTTAAATCTGTCCATCACATCTGATGTTTACTATAAATCACTCAAAGAGGGAGGCACTGCTAAAAGAATTGAAGAAGTATTGAGCAGGAAAACTCAGTGGCCTTGAGGTTGTAAATATGCCACCACATTATCCATTCCAGGATGGAAGGGGCTCAACAGCATTAAAGGATAGGAGATCTCCCAAACTATGGATATCCCTAGACACACAAGAATTCCCAATTATCTCAGAAGCACCTATGCAGAGGGCTAGACCCTTGTGCAATATGCCTAGGACCTATGTTCCCAATATGCCGGGGAGTCCCTAAGTCATCACATTGACCTTGAATCCCTGTCAATACCCACGTCACAACTCCTTTGGAGGGATTGAGAGGTTTGGACCAGGAAGCCAAAAGAATTTCCACCCAGGATTTCTCCGCTGGTTTGCTGGCAGAAAATGCTGTGTAGAGTTGGGAAGCCTGAGTTAGCCATTCTCCCAAAAATTTTCTGAGAGGTTTCTGCTATGCTTTGTGGAGGATAAGGGAGATAATGCTTCTGCTCAGGCTCAACTTGCTGACAAATTTTGGGCCTGATGAGAAGGTTTTCCATTCGTATTGGTAGCTAAAAGTGGAGTAGAGCATTTTGCCCTTAATTATATACTGGGGCAAGTAGTTAACAGATTTTGACCAATAACTGTATTGTTACTATCTCTGCATTTATTTTTTCATTATATTCTTGTATTATTCTATCTGTTATGAAGGCAATACTTAAACAATAGCTGAACCAAAATATTTAGGTAAATAGTTGAGGAATTCAGTCATGATTCTGAACATACAGAACCACTATGTATTAAATCAATGATTACTGTGTTTGACTGCACATTATATGCTGTAGCAAGGTCATGTTATCCAATGGACATACAAATTTTGTTAAATATGTTTGCCAGGCTTTCCAATTCGGTTTGCTCCATCTCTCTGTGGATGATATTTCATGATGTGATTTGACAAAATACAGAGATAATGAAATATGTGCAATGTAGCTCAGCATGACTGAGCAACAGATCCTGCTGCAAGTTTTGCAAAGCTCAACCTTCTTTACCTTAAATTTGAGAAAAATTCTAAAAAGACCAGGGAACTGGAAAGCCCACATGCAACGTGTTGCTGTTTTAGTCAAACTTGAAGCTTGAAGCTTACCTGAAGTCTTTTAGTTCTTGTTTTGTACTGCTCTCTTCTCTCTTGTTTTCTATTGTGTCTGCATTAGCTGCCTGCTGTAAGCTCCGAGTGATAGGTCCTCCAACCCTCTCTCTAGATTTTACACTGAACCTATCTGCCTTTTTCTTGTTTGCCACGGCAGACTTACTTGGCAAAACAGCTTTATTCTTTTGTATTCTGACATGCAGTTTCCGGGATGTTTTGCTTGAGATTCCAGAATTATTCTTGGCCACCACTTTAGTTTTTTTTCCCTCAATGTGAGTCATTTTGGCCACTCTTACAGGGCTGGAGTTCCTTAACACTGAAGAGGGACTTGGCTTTTTGGATCTAATTGGAGGTATGAATTTTACATTTTGCTTTGATTTGAAGGATGCAGTAGGCAGCTGAATCTGCACAGGTCCTGAGGTTCGTGCTCTCGTCTTGCCCAAGTGAGCCTGCATACTCTGCATTTTGATCTCCGCATCTGCCGTCCGTCTGCGCTGGTTGTTGCCTTTATCGCCACTTGCAGATGATGAGAAGCTCCCACTTTTTTTGGATGCATTTTTTTTAGAGGAAGGGGAGATGGGTTTTTTGGGACAGCTGTAAGATGCATGTTTGTTCAAACTTCCAATGTAAGTGAATTCTCTATTACAGTAGGGGCAGATGTGAGAGTCTGACTCCGATACACTGTTTTTCAAGTCTGCCTTCTGCTGTGCAGATTTATTTTTTTGCAAGATGGCTTTCTGGACAAGCTGATTTTTCTTCTTCAATGCACTTAGTTTTAGCTTATTAGAAGACATTTTGCTAATCTCAACATTGAAATTAAGTCTTTTAGGTTGTCCCATTCGTCTGAAGGTATTTTTTCCAGTGCCAGCTATAATGACCATGCCATTTTTAGGCTGCACAGTCTGCTTCAGTGGTACTGGATTTTTTTTGGGTGTGTATCTCTTTTTGTCACTGGCAGAGGCACATGCCAAGATGTGTTTGTGTAATTCAGGCATGTTATCAACGCTTTTCCCACATTTTGTACAACGAATGGCAGTAGTAAAGGTCTGTGGAATATTATGGGTAGTGAAATTTGTAGCAGTGGCTCCAATACCCATAGGATTTCGGTGGTGATACTGAAATGGAGGTGGTTTAAAGCTCGGATAGTGTTGATTGAGGCCCAAACGAACATCTGGATCTTTTGACTTTACTCCCGAAGCCATTATTTTTATGGTAGTATAAAGCTCTTCAGAGGAGTCATTTAGATCTTCCTCCTCTTCTTTTGAGGGTTCTAAGGAAACTTCTGGTAGGCTTTGCATATGTTCTACATTTGCCTTACTGGGATCTGTAAAATTCTGGGGTCTTAGAGTCCCACTTTCAAACTCATGATGTGTGCATTCTTTGTCTGGATGGAGATCTCGCTGATGTTGTTGCAAATTGCACAAAAAGGCAAATTCCTTTTTACAGACTGAGCATACAAAGATATTTCCTACTCCATGAAGCAAAAAGCGATGTTCTGACAAGTCAGTTTTCTCTCTAAATAGCTGTACGCAGAATTCACATTTGAAGGGCCATTCTTCAGCATGAACAGATAAATGCTTAGTTAGGTCTTTAATAGAAAGAAAAGGTGATTCACAGACATTGCACACAAAGCTTTTATTGAACGTTTCCTGAACTACATCTGCTTCACTTGAAGTCTCTGGATCGCCTCTTGGCTTCAGGTGCTCACTTTCCATTTCCTCTTGTTTAAAAGCTATTATGGGGAGAGTACTTTCCAGATTATCAGCAGGGGAAACAACTGAAGAAACTACTGAAAGAGGAGGAGGAGAAGGAGATGAGAAAGAGGAAGAGGAAGAGGAAGAAGAGGAGGAGGAGGACGACGAGGACGAGGACGACGACGAGGAGAAAGAAGAGGAAGATGAGGATGACGATGAGGACGAGGAGGAGGAGGAGAGGTTTGGAGGACCAGGTGATGCAGTAGTAAAAAGTTCAACAGAAGGAACAGGGGATGGAGAAGGAGATACTGTAGGTGAAAGGACTGGAAGTGGGGACTGTGTAGCAGTGTTACAGAGTGGTGATGGGCACGGACTGGGAGTGACACTGGCAGAGGCATCTGGAAGTGGTAAAGGAATAGTAGGAAGGAGTGGAGGGGGTGGCATAGCAAGTGTTAATAGAGGAGGACAGGGTGGTGGGGAGGAAGGATTTGTTGGCGTTAGAAGAGGGGGCAACTGACATGAGGAGGATATAGCAGATGTTTGAGGCAAAGGGGAAGCAGAGGAACTATGAGAAGGGGACTCAACAGTAGGTGCTGACAGACCACGATCAACTTCAGTTTCTGGCTGGGGTACTGCTGATTTACATGGACTTGGGCTTCTATTCAAAGTCAAATCTGGTGTGCTTTCAGTAGCTACATCCGTTCCGTTATATTCATTCAGCAGAACTTTTTGTAACATGCATGTGGTTGGTTTCTTCTTTTTAATACCACTACATGCTGGCTGCACTGAATTATTTTCTTTGTATTCCTTAACTTCAGTGTCACTATATGGCTTCTTATTCACACTTAGATCCAACACTGATTCCCAAGGAACCTGAGTCTTGCTTTTGACATCAGACCTTTGTTTTACACCACTAGATAAATCCAGTGGCTGCTGGTTGCACACACTACCAAAAGTTGGAGTTGTTGTCCATTCCTTAGATATTTTATAGTCTTCAAAGCACAGAGGACTCATAGTCTGTCTTTCCTCCCTCCCACATAAGCTCCATGCAGGTGAGTTGCTGTGACTTTCTAATTTTGGCATCTTTGAACCTATAACTGTATCATTCCACATGTTTTTTCCATCACCTTGTTTGCTGAAGTCTCGAAGCGCAGGACTGTGCTGTGGAGAACTGGGAGGAGAGCTGGTTCTCCTTTTAAACCTACTAGATACTGAAGGCAAAATGGGTGAAGATGTAGCAGAAGGACCTAATTTAGGGATTTCAGTTGCTGCTGCTGCTGCTGGAGTTATCTTATTACTATCTTGTGTCTGAAGAAGTTGTTTTAACTTGGACGACAAATAAACACTTTTTTCTTTATGAAAAGGTAAGCTCTCAGCTGTTGAAATGCTAAGAGGAAGACTTAACGAACATGAAGGAGTTATAGGTTCTGGATCTATTTCAGTTTTTATTTTAGGTAAAAGAGGAGGGCTGGCAGTCCTCCTCTTTTTGGATTCATTGCTTCCACCGCTAGAAGGCTCCTTAGGAAGATCAGTGATGTGTGTTTGTGTAGACTTTAAATTTTGAGAAATTTCCACTGTGACTGGACTAAGTAAACAATTTATTCCATACAGGTCTGCAGGATTGGATTCCATCTCAATCACATCACAATTGCTAGTGCTACTGTTGGACTGAATTTTACCATCAATATAGTAATTTAAATTTTCTGAGATATTGCTAGAAATATCCATAATATATATGTCATCTGCTTCACCATCCTCTTCTAATTCTGTACTTGCTATATACACGCTCTGGGCTGGTTGGGCCTGCTCAATTTGAAGTTGTGGTTCCTCAAGAATGAATCCTTTTCTCCTGACACCTTTGGGAATAAGATGACGCTCATGAACCCTACGCTGGTGCCTACGCATGTTAGTATGAGTTCCAAAAACTTTTTTACAATATTTGCAAGGATGCAATTCTTTGGGTTCCTTGTTCTCCTCAACAAAGGTAGAATTTGACATTTCTTGGGAGACCTTCTCAGAATCCAAGACTGTGAAGTCTTGCACCAGATTGGAAACGTTGACTTCATCTTTAAGACCATCATCTGCAAATGTCCGTCCATCAGCAACATCAGACTGCGGGGCCGAAGTTAGTGTTAAGAACGGTTTCCTTTTTGGCCCTGCTTCATGACGCCGTTCATGCCTTCGCCGGTTAATTTGAGTGCCAAAGGCTTTCCCACAGTATCGGCATTTGAAAGCATGATTGACACTAGATATATGAATATGCATGTGGCGTTCAAGTCCTTGCTTTGTTGTAAACTTCCTCTCACAATGCTGACAGGGAAACATAAATGTTTCCTGGAGGTCACCATTAGATACACCTTTTGCTTTAGGAATTTTTACAACAGGTGTTTTCTTCGGGGAGTTCTCTGGAGATTCTTCCGATATGCTGTTTTGTTCCTCCATAGAGTCTAGCTTTTCTTCACACACCGCTGTAGGCTCTTTTCCAGAACTTTCTTCAGGTAAATTAGCATCCTCCTCCTCATCTTCCTCCTCCTCCTCATCTTCCTCCTCCTCCTCATCTTCCTCCTCCTCCTCCTCCTCCAAATCATCTGATCCACAAGTTATTGCTCCTGGTTTGTCTTCAGACATTGTTCGTGGCTCACTGGTAGGACTTGGGATCATTAGTTTTGGAAGAACATCTTGATTTACCATCTCCTGAATCACAGCTGTTTGTTCCAGTGACAGCACAGCAGAAACAGATGGCTTTTCATCTTCCTCTTTATAGTCTAAGAAAGAAAGAAAAGGAGGAAGAGAAAGAAAAGCATTAGTGAATTTAGCAAATTTTCCACAATATTATAATCCCTTTCATTTCCTGTGTCCCCCTGCCAATATGTTCAATATTTATGAGTACTAGTATGCTACTGTTTCCTATCGTTAAGATGCAGTGCTTAGAACAAAAAACTGTATTCATATTTTCCTGTTTGCACTTTTTTGACCAACACGTAGGGGACTGAATTCAATACACTGAGAAACTGAGAATTACTGCTAACATTGTGGCCAGCTAAGCCTTTTCCAAGAAAGAGAGCAGGGTGTTGGTACATTTCACTGTGTATTTCTGGATATTAAAACAAAAATCATCAGATGAAATTAATTGACTTGTGTCACCATTTTTTAAACTCAGAGAAACAAGACCTTAAATTTGAACTCTGCCTGGACACACATCTAAGAAGTCAGCCAAATAAGTTTTAGAATTTGGCTGAAAACTAAAATTACTTTAAATTTTGTTTATAATACACCAATCTGGGTTTGTTTGGTGTTTTTAAACACATTGTAAAACACATTATTCGATCCAATTTGTTATTTTCCATTCCCTAAATTCTGTTTCATGAGTAGCTGTAGAATCCCCACAGGCACAGCCCACCCTCTTCTGAATCAGATACACTATGAGCATCATTTGCTGCAGTAAACTGGCTCTGAAGGCACCTTTGTATGCCAGTTTCATCTACCTGCCTTCAGACATCATCAATACCTCCTGATGAAGGGAATGCAGCTATCCTGCTGATAACGTGCACAAGCAGAGTACGTCAGCAGAGCAGCTATGCAGTTAAGGCAAAAATTTCTCCCCTGCCTCCTTTATATGTCTAGCTTGGGAATGCTGGGGTATGCGGGGGGGAGGGGAGGTGTCAGATTCCCAGGATTACTAGTTTTTAGTGGGTTGGTCAGAGGGTAGTTGGAGGAAAAGATCTTGAATGAAGCCGGTAGTTACATGCTGCCCTTACCTCCTTCAATTATATCTCCCACTGGTCCAACAACAAAGCCAGGGAAGACAGACTTTACATTCCTGATATTTCTAAACCAAAAAAACAATCAGGAAAAAAAAATCTTAAAGATCTTTCAGGCCTTTAAAATATACATCACAATGTGAAAACGGGCAGAAACCAATTTTCAAAAATATGCTCTGCAGGTCACCTTTAAGACAGACTGCATCAATTGTTGTGTGAGAATTTTTAGAGGTGGTATTTTATTCTGTTTGCATTATACTGCACTTTGTTTTATTTTGTTGTATAGCAATCCAAATGGCTGGGCAAAAGGCTAGGGCAGCCAGTGGCTATATAATAAAATTATTATACCATGATTCCCAAAGTCATTTGGTACTACATCTTGATCCTATTTCTAAGTTTCAAAAGACTTAAATTTAAAATAAGGACTTCTTTATTATGTTCCATCTGAAGGTTCGGGATTTTGTGTTTAAATTCTGTACTAAGCTAACCCTTCTGCACTGTATAAAGTGTGAACAAATGACATACTTCTCTGAACGTACAACTAGTAACTTCAAGTTATTTAACACTACAAGATAGCTGGGCACACAGTATAAACATTTTTATAGTGCTGCTGGTTTTAGTATATAATGCTATATATATCCTCCTTTAATTCAATACGATACCTAAAGAAATTCATATGAGAACTGAAAAATCTTACCTTTTTTAGACTCCCTCATATCTGTGGAAGTAAAATCCAAATCAGTCTTTCTCTGCTTTGTATCTATTGCCTTCCTTCCTTTGTTTTTACACTCCTTTTTCTTCCCTGAAAAATAATACAAAAAATTTGTCTACTGCTGCTCAACAATTTTTTTAAAAAAACTTGAGTGACAAAATTCAAAACCCAGCTTTAGAAAAACTGCACATTTTTGAATAATTACTGCATTTTCCTGAGGAACATAAATGGCACATCCTCAATTTAAAAAAAAAAAAAAAAGGATAGCAACATTCAAAGATTATATTAAGTGTATGCAAAAAGATTGCTAAAGGGCAAAGCACAGAACAAAGGAAAAAAAGGTGACTTGCAAGAAATTAACAGTTTAGCCAATTTAATTTTGATACCTGTTTCGTCACTATAACTGATAAAGCAAAATAAGTCTACAAACGCCTAGAGGAAAAATAAATGATCAGTACAAGGTAAGATGAGTTTGTCAGAAACAAAAACATGCTGAACTAGTTTTCTTTCACTGATGGCACAAAGAGGATCAAGGAAATGCAGTGTAACTCAAATAACTCAGACACAGTTATCTGACATCTTCATAGGTATACTAGACAAACAAGACTTCTATAAGGATGATGTTACACATTAACGGTATCTTAGACAATTTTATGAGACAAGGTGGGAGAGGTAATATCTTTTATTGGACCAACTTCTGTTGGTGAGAGACAAACTTTCGAGCTCACACAGAGCTCTTCTTCAGGTGTCTCTCTCACCAACAGAAGTTGGTCCAATAAAAGGTATGACCTCACCCACCTTGTCTCTCTAATATCATGGGATCAACATGGCTACAACGCCACTGCACTCTTTAATGCTTTGTGTCAATTTGAGAAGTGCTGTCAACTGGTATTCCACATGGGTTCCATATACTTCTGTGTAGGTTTTCAAAATAATTCTACATCACTTTTCAGCCATGACTTGGAAGAGCGTGATACAAAAAGCAGAGGAATCATAAATATTCCAAAAGAAAATATTAAAACACAGTATGATTTTTACAAACTGGAGAAAGATGAAATCAATTAAATTCAATAAAGGTAACTATAAAGTGGTTTACATAAAAAGAGTAATCAAATATAAAATTGGGTAACAGTTGTTAGTGAGCAGAATTACAGAAAGATAGGGATGATGAACATAATATACGTGAATAATGCAATGCTGACACAAAACCAGAAAATACTAAAGGAACACTACAAGAAAGCAAGTCAGGTAGCTGGTCTGCTCTATCAGACTTTGGTTAGGCCTTACTTGGGAATGCTACATGTAACCTTTGGGCAGCACATTCTGATACACTCGACAAAGTTAAGAGAATAGGAAAAAAAGGAATAGTTTAGACAATAAGACTTATCATGAAAGCTTAAGAACCAGATATGCTTACTACAGATGAGAGGACAGACAATTCTCTCCCCGAGAAATAGCTAATGTGAGACAGAAAAGAATACGGAGAAATTCTCCATCCAAGAAGCTGTAGCAAGAAAAAAAAACATAGGTCAAATATAACTTTGTAACTATAGGTTTCAGAGTAACAGCCGTGTTAGTCTGTATTCGCAAAAAGAAAAGGAGTACTTGTGGCACCTTAGAGACTAACCAATTTATTTGAGCATGAGCTTTCGTGAGCTACAGCTCACTTCATAACTCCGATGAAGTGAGCTGTAGCTCACGAAAGCTCATGCTCAAATAAATTGGTTAGTCTCTAAGGTGCCACAAGTACTCCTTTTCTTTTTGTAACTATAGCCAATATGTTGCTCTCCATTTGTGTCTGTACTATCTGCAAAGGGAGACCTTCTCAGGGAAAAAAAGGCCCAAATATGGAATTATCAGAAGACTTAGCCAATGATTTGAAAGATGCACAGAAACTTCATTTACAAATTGGCTTTGAGGGTATACTCTCCAGAGTTCTCCTCCTGCTCCTATATATGGTCTCTCTTCATCCAAATCTATGATATTTAAAGGGTAAGGGATAGGCTCTCACAGGTGTATGAAGGGTGGAAAAGTGTTTATTTACATCTTCATTCTGGGTAAACTTTCCATCCTTGAAAAATCTCACACTTCTGATACATTGATGTATGCTACATATTTCCCTTGCAGCTAATGGCTTGTCTACATACGGAGTTATTCAGTTATTCAAAAGTGGATTAAGTGAAACAGGAAAAAGGAACTCTTATTCCAAAATAAGATGGTCAACATATGGAATTATTCAGGACTAGCTACGGTACTTTAAATGCACACCCTACCTTAATCTGAATTAACTTTCAACTGTACACAAGCCCTAAAAACAGCCATCTCTTCTGAAAATGAACACCTCTGCCTACCCAGCTGCTAGAATGGTACCGCTACAAGAGAAGTAATACATCCTCTGCCAGGCTATAACAGGGTTTAAACTATAACAGGGTTTAAACGAGAACTGGATAAATTCATGGAGGTTAAGTCCATTAATGGCCATTAGCCAGGATGGGTAAGGAATGGTGTCCCTAGCCCAGAGGTGAAAGTAAGCTGGTATGCCCCGGTACGGGGTACCGGCAAGAGCCAGTGCGCCACACCGGGGTGGATCGGCTTCCCCAGGCGCAATTTAAAGGGCCTGCAGCTCCCAGCAGCAGCTGGAGCCCCCGGCCCTTTAAATTGCTGCCAGAGCCCCACTGCTGGAGCCCTGAGGTAGCGGCCGTGGGCTGAGGCGGCGATTTAAAGGGCCCGGAGCGGTAGCGGCGGCAGAGCCCTGAGCCCTTTAAATCGTCCCCAGAGCCCCACCGCAGCTTCCCCAGGGCTCCAGGGACGATTTAAAGGGCCAGGGCTCCGGCTGCCGCTACCGCCCAGGGCCCTTTAAACTGCTGCCAGAGCCCCCGGCTGCCGCTGTTACCCCGGGGAGGGGGAAGGAGGAACTACGCTGCTGGTACAAGGTGGGCCGAGGCTGGCTCTGACCTCCTTCAGCCCCATCCCTTCCGCCCGAAGCCCTGCCCCTCCTGGGGGCCAGAGCCAGCCCCAGCCCAGCCCCATACCGCTAAGTCCCTAGACTTACTTTCATAGAATCATAGAATCATAGAATATAAGGGTTGGAAGGGACCCCAGAAGGTCATCTAGTCCAACCCCCTGCTCAAAGCAGGACCAATTCCCAGTTAAATCATCCCAGCCAGGGCTTTGTCAAGCCTGACCTTAAAAACCTCTAAGGAAGGAGATTCTACCACCTCCCTAGGTAACGCATTCCAGTGTTTCACCACCCTCATAGTGAAAAAGTTTTTCCTAATATCCAATCTAAACCTCCCCCACTGCAGCTTGAGACCATTACTCCTCGTTCTGTCATCTGATACCATTGAGAACAGTCTAGAGCCATCCTCTTTGGAACCCCCTTTCAGGTAGTTGAAAACAGCTATCAAATCCCCCCTCATTCTTCTCTTCTGCAGGCTAAACAATCCCAGCTCCCTCAGCCTCTCCTCATAACTCATGTGTTCCAGACCCCTAATCATTTTTGTTGCCCTTCGCTGGACTCTCTCCAATTTATCCACATCCTTCTTGAAGTGTGGGGCCCAAAACTGGACACAGTACTCCAGATGAGGCCTCACCAATGTCGAATAGAGGGGAACGATCACGTCCCTCGATCTGCTCGCTATGCCCCTACTTATACATCCCAAAATGCCATTGGCCTTCTTGGCAACAAGGGCACACTGCTGACTCATATCCAGCTTCTCGTCCACTGTCACCCCTAGGTCCTTTTCCGCAGAACTGCTGCCTAGCCATTCGGTCCCTAGTCTGTAGCTGTGCATTGGGTTCTTCCATCCTAAGTGCAGGACCCTGCACTTATCCTTATTGAACCTCATCAGATTTCTTTTGGCCCAATCCTCCAATTTGTCTAGGTCCTTCTGTATCCTATCCCTCCCCTCCAGCGTATCTACCACTCCTCCCAGTTTAGTATCATCCGCAATTTTGCTGAGAGTGCAATCCACACCATCCTCCAGATCATTTATGAAGATATTGAACAAAACCGGCCCCAGGACCGACCCTTGGGGCACTCCACTTGATACCGGCTGCCAACTAGACATGGAGCCATTGATCACTACCCGTTGAGCCCGACAATCTAGCCAGCTTTCTACCCACCTTGTAGTGCATGAAACACCCTGAGAAAGCTGGACAACTAATTAAATCTAAGTTCACCCCTGCCCTAGCCTCTGTTTGTCAGAGGATGGAGATACATGGCAGGAGAGAGATCACTTATGTTCTTAGGCCTCTCAGACATAAAACTTTCTAATACACGACCTTCTGGCCAGAGATGTGAAATGTATTCTGGAATCCATGTCTCTCACTTAGAAGCACACTCTCCTACCTAAGAAGCCATTGGACTTGCCTCATATGAACCATTTTGAACTTAAATCTGAGATTATTCCTTTACTCTTAGAAGTATTTTGCACGTCTTTTGCTGAAAGTTTTTCCTCTCTATTCCTACTGAAACTTTCTAACCTTCCGACAGAAATGTTTAAAGATCAAAGAAAGATCAGCTTCACACTAGAGAAAATAATTACTAGTTTTTATTTGGACACCATTGATGTATGAACTAATTTTGTATTTTCTCCCTCTTTTTTGATGAACTTAGATTTAATTAGTTGTCCAGCTTTCTCAGGGTGTTTCATTCCATTTTTGGTTATTTTCTTATTTTTTACCTTAACAGATTTTTATCAGATCAAGAGATCACTATACATTACAATTTTTTATTTTTATTTTTTGCCATCTCTGGATCACACATTACTATATGCAATGCTTTCTCTCAACTGAGCAGCTTTGTGCCTCATCTTATCCCCAAATACTATAATGTTTTGTCTCTAAGAACTTCCCTGACTATCATACCTACCTGGAATTGTGTGATAGGGCATCATTATCAAGTGCTGGGAAAATGCAGCTGGAGACTAATCAGAAGTTTCAGCATGCTTTCTGATGCTCCGACTGACCATAATGAGTTTCTCTGTGCATCTTTACCTGCCAAGCTCCGCAATTCAATATTATATGCCATTAGTCAGAACCTCTGATAACCTTTGAAAGAAAAGGATCCACAGCCATGGTCTTCAATG